TACTTCATTAAGTTTTCACACGAACTTTACAAAAATATTTGCTCTGCGTTGGCGAAAAACTTTGCAATTTGCTTTTTTTTTTTTTGGGAAAAACTTTTAATAAGATTTTATTTTTTAGGTAATTTTTAAAAATGTATTTATTTGTTCTTAAGTTATTATATATTTGAGTCGGATTCTTGGTAACCCCCCTTTCCCTTCTATTTTTCTTTCATTTTTTTATAACTTGTTTCCATTGCCATTCGATGTGACACAGCTTAAGCGTTTCTCCGAAGAAGTTAATGCGGATTGCACTGCCTTGTCGGGCATGAAATTTTTCCATTTGACACGGGGCATGGTGCTGTCGGTGAGTATTAGGGGATACCACACGGGTATAGAGAGTGTGTAACAATGTGTAACCGGAGCCGAAGGACATGGACACGTATGCGGGTCTCTATATGGAGTCACATTCGCACACACACATACACTCGTATGTGTGTGTGATATGTTTTGTTTGCTGGATTAACTAAAGTGACATATGACATTTGGAGAAATCGGCTGATGCTGTTGCTAAGACGGATTGTTGTTCATTTGTGTGAGAGAGAGAGAGAGAGAGAGAGTTGGTTTTATTTTTGTTCTTTTTCTTCGAAAAGGAAATTTAATATTGAGACGCTCTCAAAATCTTTAAGGAATTAAAGAGTTTTGAAATTAATATCCTCGGTTTTTCTTGTTTCCCTTTTGCATAAATTTTTAATTTATTTCCTTTTATAGGTGGCTGGAACAATATTGACCTATGAACTGGTGCTGCTACAATTGACTAAGACCGAAGTTGTGTCGGATTGCCATTAGAGCAGAGGAGGGGAAGAAAAAAAATACATTTTTGAAAATAAGCATTAAATAAACATATTTGAATGTTATCTAACCAATAAACGTGGATTTTTTAAAGAATATTTTTTTCAAGGACCAATAAACGTGGATTTTTTAAAGAATATTTTTTTCAAGGACCAATAAACGTGGATTTTTTAAAGAATAGTTTTTTCAAGGACCAACGTGGATTTTTTAAAGAATATATTTTTCAAGGACCAACAAACGTGGATTTTTTAAATAATATTTTTTTCAAGGACCAATAAACGTGGATTTTTTAAAGAATATTTTTTCAAGAACCAATAAACGTGGATTTTTTAAATTATATTTTTTCAAGGATCAATAAACGTGGATTTTTTAAATAATATTTTTTCAAGGACCAATAAACGTGGATTTTTTAAATAATATTTTTTCAAGGACCAAATAAACGTGGATTTTTTAAATAATATTTTTCAAGGACCTTTCGATAAATAAACGTGGATTTTTTAAATAATATTTTTCAAGGACCTTTCGATAAATAAACGTGGATTTTTTAAATAATATTTTTCAAGGACCTTTCGATAAATAAACGTGGATTTTTTAAAGAATATTTTTTCAAGGATTAATAAAGATTACTTTTTCAAGGATCCAAAACTCAATAAACGTGGATTTTTTAAAGAATATTTTTTCAAGCATCAAAAGACAAACAAAACGAGGATTTTTTTAGAAGATTACTTTTTTCAAGGATCAAAGGACCAATGAACGTGAATTTTTTTAAAATATTACTTTTTCAAAGGACCAAAGGACAAATAAACGTGGATTTTTTAAAGAATATTTTTCAAAAATCAAGGGACAATTCGACCTAGATACTTGTAAATAGAGCCTTAAAACAGTGGGAAGTGTTGCTCTGTAGATAAGCAGGAGGGAGCATCTTTAGACCAGATGGAGAGAGACTCAATTCACTAGATAGAGAAAGGCTGACGCTCAGGGAGTCAGCTCGTCCATTGAGACTCCCTGAGCGTCAGCTCGTTTATTGAGACTCCCTGAGCTTCAGCACGTCTATTGAGATTCTCTGAGCGTCAGCTCGTCTTTACAGACTTCCCGAGCTTCAGTTCGTCTATTAAGACTCCCTGGCCTTCAGCTCGCCCATTGAGACACCCTGAGCGTAAGCTCGTCTATTGTGACTCCCAGAGGCTTCACCACGTCTTTAGAGAATCTTTGGACTACAGCTCGTCTATTGAGACTTCCAGAACAAGAGCTCGTCTATAGAGACCCCTTCTGACTCATCTATAAAGTTTCAGGCCGATTCGTATATAAAGACTGCCTGCGGCTTGTCTATAGATTTGTCTTCGTCGAAAAAACGCTCTTCCCAGCTGCTCTATAAAGACGTTCGGGAGAAAATTTATATATCTGACATACATATATATGTATGTATGCATGTGTGTGTTCTTTATGAAGCAACGTTAGTATTTTTTAATAAATATGTTTTTTTAATTTTTGTTAATTAAAACTTTAATATGCTGTTGTATCAGCAAGCAACTAAAAAGCTTTAAGTTGAAAGTTAATTTAAAACTTAATTTAAAAGTGTAAATAAATAAACTTTAGAGGTTTTATACGGCTTTTGTTTACTTAGGCATGTGTACATCTGAAAGAGGGGGGGGGGGTGGAGGAAGAGGTAGCGAGTTCCAAACTAATTAAAAAACTGACTTTATCTATCATTTACAAAGTGGATTTATTTCCGAGAAAAAAATGTTAACCACATAGTTATGTTTCTTCGGAAGCCGGTCTATTAAATGACATATTTACATGGAATTTATTTCAATTGTAAGAATATGTCTTCGGTATCGTAGAGTGATTCATAAGCTGTTGGTGATAAAATTAATAGGAAAGCAAGGTGTTTGCGACTGGGAAAACTAATTAAATTCTGGGTGTGGGAAAAAAATTACAAATACATAAATCGGAAAAACAAGGATATTTTAAGAAAATATTTTTATGGAGACAAGTTTTTTATTGTCCGTAATGAAATCCTTAAAAATGGAAAAAAAAACTCAGATTGGTCTGTTGGTACCTTCAGAAATTTTTATTAAAAGTCCATCCGATTATTGTTCTTTAGGTACTTGAAAATATATTATTAAAAAAATAAAAATTAATGTCTTAAAAGACCTTCAACAAAATTATTTAAATCCAAAATTTATGCCTCGAAAAAATATTCTTAAAAATCCAAAATATATTTTTTATAAAAATTTTGAATTTTTGAAATTTTGCATAAAATTAAATTTTCAAACGAAAAAATGGCAAAAATATCTCTCTTTTTGTCCACATTAACAAATTTCTTTAATACAGATAATCCATTTTTTTTTTTGTTCTCTTGTGGCTTTTATTGTTCATTTCTTTGGTGTTGTGGCAAAATCTCAAAACAGAAAAACATAACGAAAACATGTCACAAAAAAAAGAGCGAAAGCTTTTTTTGTGGTGTTTAACTAATGCTCTCAGACATAAACTTTTTGCACTGCAACCTTTAGCCATTGCAAAAGGCAAAAAAAAAGAGATGAAGACAAAGGCAAAAACACAAAACCTCAATCTCATTAGAAAGAAATTTCTTAGAAAGCCACTAATAAAAAGGTTATCTGCTTGGTTTTGTTGAATTGCTAAAAACATTTAACTGCTCAATTTGATAAAATGTCCTTTGAGGTGAGAGATTGGTGTTGTGTTGGCAGGGATTTCACACATTTTAGCTTTCATAAGCATTTGTGGCTTTTGAACTCGAGAAGGAGAATTTTTTTTTGGGGTTATGAAGGCAATGGCGGCGAGGGAAAGGAGTCTTTAAAGATGACGAGCTGAAGACGAGCAAAAGAGAGTCTCCATATACTACCTAAAGTAATTTCTATAAATTAACTGATGGGAATCTTTATAGAAGAGCTCTGGAAGTCGCCTTTTATAGCTGGAGTTCGTCTCATTTTATAGATGAGCTGCTGGAGGTCGTATCTATAAACGAGCTCCAGAACTCGTCTATTGAGACGACCTCCAGAACTCGTCCATTAAGACGACCTATAGAGCTAGTCAATAAGAGACGACCTCCAGCAGCTGGTGGTCGTCTTTTATAGACGAGCTGCTGGAGTTCGTCTCTTATAGACGAGCTGCTGGAGGTCGTCTCTTGTGACGAGCTGCTGGAGGTCGTCTCTTATAGGCGAGCTGCTGGAGGTCGTCTCTTATAGACGAGCTGCTGGAGGTCGTCTCTTATAGACGAGCTACTGGAGGTCGTCTTTTATAGACGAGCTGCTGGAGGTCGTCTTTTATAGACGAGCTGCTGGAGGTTGTCTCTTAAAGACGATCTACTGGAGGTTGTCTTTTATAGACGAGCTACTGGAGGTCGTCTTTTATAGACGAGCTGCTGGAGGTCGTCTCTTATAGACGAGTTGCTGGAGATCGTCTTTTATAGACGAGCTCTGGAGGTGGTCTCTATAGACGAGCTGGTCGTCGTCTATTATAGACGAGCTGGTCGTCGTCTTATAGACGAGCTGGTCGTCGTCTTATAGACGAGCTGGTCGTCGTCTTATAGACGAGCTGGTCGTCGTCTTATAGACGAGCTGGTCGTCGTCTCTTATAGACGAGCTCTGGAGGTCGTCTCTTATAGACGAACTCCAGAGAGGTCGTCTCTATAGACGAGCTCCAGAGAGGTCGTCTCTATAGACGAGCTCCAGAGAGGTCGTCTCTATAGACGAGCTCCAGAGAGGTCGTCTCTATAGACGAGCTCCAGAGAGGTCGTCTCTATAGACGAGCTCCAGAGAGGTCGTCTCTATAGACGAGCTCCAGAGAGGTCGTCTCTATAGACGAGCTCCAGAGAGGTCGTCTCTATAGACGAGCTCCAGAGATGTCGTCTCTATAGACGAGCTCCAGAGAGGTCGTCTCTATAGACGAGCTCCGGAGAGGTCGTCTCTATAGACGAGCTCCGGAGAGGTTGTCTCTATAGACGAGCTCCAGAGAGGTCGTCTCTATAGACGAGCTCCGGAGAGGTCGTCTCTATAGACGAGCTCCGGAGAGGTCGTCTCTATAGACGAGCTCCGGAGAGGTCGTCTCTATAGACGAGCTCCAGAGAGGTCGTCTCTATAGACGAGCTCCGGAGAGGTCGTCTCTATAGATGAGCTCCAGAGAGGTTGTCTCTATAGACGAGCTCCAGAGAGGTCGTCTCTATAGATGAGCTCCAGAGAGGTTGTCTCTATAGACGAGCTCCGGAGAGGTCGTCTCTATAGACGAGCTCTGAACGTCGTCTCTATAGACAAGCTCTGGAGGTCGTCTCTATAGACGAGTTCTGGATGTAGTCTCTATAGACGAGCTCTGGAGGTAGTCTCTTTAGCGGAACTGCTGGAGGTCGTCTCTTATAGGCGAGCTGCTGGAGGTCGTCTCTATAGACGAGCTCTGGAGGTCGTCTCCAGAGACGAGCTCTGGAGGTCGTCTCCATAGACGAGCTCTGGAGGTCGTCTCTATAGACGAGCTCTGGAGGTCGTCTCCAGAGACGAGCTCTGGAGGTCGTCTCCATAGACGAGCTCTGGAGGTCGTCTCTATAGACGAGCTCTGGAGGTCGTCTCTATAGACGAGCTCTGGAGGTCGTCTCTATAGACGAGCTCTGGAGGTCGTCTCTATAGACGAGCTCTGGAGGTCGTCTCTATAGACGAGCTCTGGAGGTCGTTTTTTATAGACGGAGGTCGTCCTTTATAGATGACCTGAAGAGAAGCCATCTTTATAGACGTCTTGGAAAGAGTCGTCATATTCAACATATCTCTCTACTTAACTCGAAGTCAATCTATTTCCCATTTGTAAAGGAGCTTTCAGTTTTTGTTTGTTTGTACATTTTTCCTTGACTACATTTCTACATTTCTCACTCATAACGTTTACCTTGGACACACACCTTCTTCCTTACTACCTTTGTATAACATAACTTTGTAATAGAATGTTTTGAAGAAACAAATTCCAACACTCGAACGTCGTTGTCGAACACCATCAATAAGAAATCAATAAAGAAAGAAATTAAAAAAACAACAACAACAACAATAGAATAAAATAAATTCAATTTTTTTCCTTTCAATCGATGCTGATGAACAGTTTGTTG